AACTATGCCAAGATTTAGGGGCTGTTTACATGGAGGTGGGGGACCCAAGATAGGTGAGGTAACATGTGGCGGGTCACCCCAACAAACATGTAAACGTGATCAAATTAAAATGAGAGCTTATATGGACAGGCGGGTTACCTCACCTAAGCGAGTTACCTCCATGTTAACAGGCCCTTAATAAATGCCAATCGACTTCTGAACCAAAGCAAAGCTTATTTCCAGACTTTTTTTTACGAGGAATATACGGGTAGAATTCAGAGGGACCAGACAAAACAAAAGACTATTTCAATGTGACCCATGTTGTCTATAGCCCGTGGTTAGATTTTTTTAATTCAGAGGTCGTATGATATTGTCGTTTAGCGAATAAAATAAAGCGCAGTAAAATAAATAAGAAAAAAATCACGATCGAACTAGGTTTTCAAGAGTCTTTCCGTCTTCTTCAAGCATGTAAGTTTCTAGCACTAACGACTCTAACTGCTAATTGTGTAATATATAAAACCCCATAAACTTCGTTTTAGCTTTAGTCAGTTTTAATGACATTCATTTTCTTAAGCAATAGTCCACACTTTCTTGGGTTTAACCCGCGTGATAACCCACGCGGGATGTTCGGAACACGAGAAAAGCTTGTAAATCACGAGCCTTCTTTCAAGTGTTCTCCCATGATCCCAAGTGGGTTATCACGTCGGTAAACCCATGGAAAGTGCGTTCATTGGCTTTTATAAAATATCTAAGTTTTCTATGAGTTTACCGGCACAATAAACCATAGGTTTTTAACCAATCAGAACGCGCGCCCTATCTTAGTTATTTTATAAAACTAGGGTTACCTTCCGGCAAGTGCCAGCGAGGCGAACTCGCTTACCTTCTGTGGAATGTGCCTATCCAGATCTTCGAAATTTGTTATACATTAATTTTAGAGGTTTACAATGGATTCCGCCATAGAAAATTAAGGATGGCACTCAACTTTAGAAAAAAAAATTGGTACATCATTTAGGCTTTCATTTCTATTAAAAAATGACAACATGGCTTGAAGCTTTGTTGGTAAATTGGAGCAAGTTTGAACTTATATTTTAAGGAAATTCAAAGTTACAATAACGTTAGAAAGTAAAATATAGTTCAAGTGAGGCCTTTGAATGCTAAAATTAAAAAATTAAATTAAATTCCGAGCTTTCGCTTTTCAACGGCATCATCAGGGATAAGAAAAATATTCCCCATGGTAATATTCATATGAAAAAATTGGTGTAAGCAAAATGTGTGAAAAACGCAAGAATGGGGCGGAATGTATCAAAGGTATAAAAATATAAACTTAAATAAAATACAAAGATGTAATGAGCGAGTGGCACAGGGCAAAGAGTCTCTGGAAAGGCAAAATGATTCATAATGATGGTCTTTAAATCTTAAAACAGAAAAGGTCCGGAAATTCGTTGCATTCGTCATGGGAGTTTAGGGCTGTCTTCAATGAAAATCGAGCTGCAAAAGGACACGCTGGTTGACAAAAATCTCACCAAAGGCAAAAATAACTTCGAAAAAACAAAAGGTCCTTAAATGCGTTGCATTCCTAACGGGAGATGAGGACCGGCTCAATGTAAATCGAACTTCGAAGAACACGGTGGTTCTGATAAACGTTTTAAATAATACAACCTTATTTCTTGATTACCTACCGCATAAAATTCAATTTACAAAGGAAAAGATAAACACTCAAAAAACCCTGGTTCTGAGTCGAGAAGTGAACACGCTACCTCAGTGTAACTAATAGTAAGCAAGGTGGCTCGGACAAGGAGCGTAAAACCCTATTCCTCGATGACCTGCTTCTTAAAACGCAATTTATAAAGCAAACGAGATTACTAATAGCCTTTTCAAATCTAGAAATCGTGTTAAAGCTAGCTCACCTGTTAGGGCCTCTCAACAGAAAACGGACAGCTGCACAAGGGATCACCTAATTTCGAACCAGGAGTAGTAAATTCAAGATCATGACGCCACTGCCCAAATATGAGGTCTTACTTACACCCAAATATGGTCAAAAATACAAATTTTAGAGGGTTACGCAGAATTTGAGAGTTTTTGCCTACATTGCGTGGGATTATGAATCTGCCGCCGAGGCAACCTCGCTTCTAAGCTCGGTTGCCTCGTTGGCAATTATATATTAACATACATTTAAGGTTAAAACAAAAGAAATGCGTATTTTATTATGTATAACTTTTTTCCATTGCAGAGCCTTCAAATGATGACGACGAAAACAAGCTGGGCTTTCCCATCATCATTGGCATTTCTTGTGGCGGAGCTTTTCTCCTGTTGTTGGTCATTATTGTTTTGATCAACCGATATAAAAAAATCAAGATGTACATCGTACGACGAAAAAAACACCCAAATTCAGGTGCAGACTATGAGCTGAAAAAACCCAGGTCTAAGGAACACACCTTGGATAAAGATGTTGAAGGAAAAGTAAACAATGCTTACAACTGCTGAAGCCGCATTGAGAGAAAAGGCGGATTCTTGTTTTGATTATTTTCGCTCGTAGAAATGCCTTAGCTGGTGCGGAGTAGAAGCACTAAAACGTGCTCTTTTTATGACTCTCTGTCTTTTTTATAAGATTTACTAATGAAGTCTTTATTATTCTTTTTGCTGCTTTAAATTGTAGACCTATAGCTAGGCGCTTTGTCAATGGTTAAACAATAAGTAATAATTAACTGTCGCTTCAAATCCATTTTTATTCGATCATGGATTTTACCTAGGACTTAACATGCTAAGTTGGCAAGTAAAAATGATGATAAGTAATGGAATGTTCAAAAAAAAAAAAAATAAATAAATAAATAAAAAAAAGAAAGAAAGAAAAAAACACGGCAAACATAAAACAGCTCTCAGGCCTAAGAGTTATCGGGACATTCGAGAAACAAGCCCCTGACCTGGAAACTTTTCGGGCCGGGAAAGCTATTTTGTGTTGCTGTGTTTTCATTCAAGATCAAAGTTTCAATAACTTTGAAAGTGATACAATGAAACTATCAGTTAACTAAGCAAAACTGACTGGTTTGTGGGCAAGGAACTGGACTACGATTCAACAGGTTTTGATTTTGAAATTTGCCTTCGGGCCCCGAAAAGTTTCCGGGTCCTTGGAGAAACGGGCCCCAGGCCCGAAACGTTTGCAAAAAAACTCAGACCAAAACACTGCACTTTTGTTCATTATTATTTTTTTTTCGTTGAACATTCCCTCACTTAGTATACTTTCGAAAGTGCCACGCAGTTTATCGCAATTTTGTTTCCGTTTTTTGTTTGAAGTAAAAAATATATCTTGCTTAGGAACTCTTGTGACTATGGTCGGTTCATTTTCATGTGTTTATTACTACGAATGATTGTAAAGAAAAATCCAGTTGCTTGTTATGAGAATTATTAATCTCTTTTCCTTCCTTTTTTTTCTCTTTTTTGCATGAAAAGCAAATGATTGCTTCTATGGTATATTTACAACTTTTTTGAAAAACTCCGCCTTTATAGATTTCATGTTATTGCTGAATAAAACGTTACTAGTGCATCTGCTGCCTTCAACTTGTCTATGGAAACGGAAATTATAGCCGGTGACATAAAATCTCACTTTACAGGCATCCAATAATATACACCCTTCTTTTTTTAACGTTTGACGTGAAACCAGTGGAACATCTTAAAATAAGTCAAGTCACCAAGTTTGAGAGTGATTTTTTGAAAAAGCAGAAAAATATTCACCTGCAGTTACAAATTTTCCATGCATTGCGCAGAGGCTAAATCTTCGCGCACTTCACAGGTCTTTAGCCCTATCACTTTCCAACGTGGCAAGTTTAATTATTTTAAGGCTCTCTTTACAGAAGTGTAATATTGGCTAACTCTTCAAAAAGTTGAGGGGTGCTAAAGAGTTTTTTCGCTGCTCCAGTAGAAATCGATTGACCCAGTCTCAGGCGAAATCTTATGACCAATTCATTGCTCTTCACATTAAAACGAGACACTTTAGGCCAGCGTTTGAAACGTTAGCAGTTTTGCATCTCCTTACAACCCAGTTGATAAAACCAATTGGTTTTGTTTCAGACTATAACTCTAAAGTTATGTAATTGATAGGTTACACAAACGCAGAGAGGAAAAAGTAATTACGCTTTGAAAACGCGTACATGTCGTAAACATTTTGCAATTTCACGAAGTCTTCAGATGGAAATTAATCGGATTTTCATACACAGATTGTGAATTTCATAAGTGGTTTTCACTAGCACAATGATTAGTCTTTAGAGAGATTTTCGTATGACTGTGAAATGAAAACGCGCGAAAAAAACATACAAACGCGCGCGGCTTTTGGTTGAGCGAACGCTCAGGTGAAAAAACTTCATGCCCGAGAACGTTCTAGAAATCAACCGATACTTCGCTTTGACATCGTACTGCAACACGATTGGCCAATCGAACAATGCCTTCTCCATATTAGTGTTTTCTTTGGTGGGAAAACGAACAGGCTATGTCTTGATCTTTTTATCCATTGGCTGATAAAACAAATAACGAACACTTACCGAAACTATTTTTCAAGGTTATACGAAATCGCTCTTTTCCTCAAGTTCGGTCGTTGCTTCTTCGTTTAGCAAATAAGCTAAAAGATCATCGCTGCAAGCAAAATACCGTTCGTTCTTTCGTTTTTCTTTTGAAATTTCTTGTGCTTCCCCTTGCCGTTCAAGAGGGCACATCGGTGTATTAGCAAGGCCAGTTAGTTAAACACCCAAACAAATACTGCAGCTACCTATCACACAAAACGCTTGCCTGGTAAAGGAAACCTCAGTTAGGAATAAACAGCCACGTTCCCGGGGTCTTGTCCTACTCGCTTCGGGAGACGAGTAGCAGAGGACCCTAGGAACGAGGTTGGACAATGAGGCGAAAAGAACGACTCCAAAAGAAACTTGATGGGAGGAGAAGAAGAGGAACCCTCTACAATTAATTAAAGGAGGAGACACTGATTTGACGGACATTGATCGAAATGACTTGCCCAGTGCGGGTCCATTTTGCATGCTCTCCAATTATTTAGCCTGCATGTTGTAAGTCTGGTTGTTTATTTCACAATACATACTTAGACAACATTTTCAAGAGCAGAGTAGAGTAAGCAAAAGAGAACTGATAAGAACAAAAACAAGAACAACGAATCAAGCCCGACACTCAAGTATTTAACAGTTTAACCACATAGTAGACAATCTGGATTTTGTGAGGTATAAAAAAGAAATATATACACTTCAAATAGAAAATATCCTCCGATGTTTACGTTCTCAGCGGCCAGGTTTTCTAGAGTCGTCACGCAATGCTTAGGACATGTCACGCCGCGATAGAAAATGATCATTCCAGTACAGTTTCACTTTGTCACGCGCAGCCAGGGTAGCGGTGACCACACAGACTCGTGACAGGTACGGTAACTGGCAGGTCTCCTTAGCGTTTCTCCGGCCTAAGAGCAGGCGGTTTAAATGCCGTGCGACCTTTCTTTTCTTTCTTCTTCTTTTTCCCTCCTGCTTGGAACGATCGCCAGCTATCGACACGGTTGGTTCGACTCTCCTTTTGATTAAAAAACAAAAACAAAAACATCAGAGCTTCCCAGTTAAACAGGGCTCAAAAGTCAGTGGGGGCATCTATGGGCACCTCGAGTAAGTTCTTGACTGACTCGGGAGTATTGTGATTGGGAGCACCAGTTAAACCACCTAAAAATAAGTAAGAGGCTATGACATCACCCATCTTAAACCTGTCAAACCGGTTAACCCGCCTCAAAAGTAACACATCATCTTATCTTAAAGAAGTTCCCCGTAATTTATTCATGACATAAAGGCAACGGGCTATGGCGTCATCGGCGTCAATGTATTCCTCCGCAAATTAATGAGATTTCTCCTGAAAAAGGGGTTTAACCGGTGCGCCCTATTCTACTCTTGGGGGATGGGGACTATGTCTCCTTGCATCCCTTCCATCCGAATCCAGAGCTTACTCCCCACTGCTTACAAGAGACCCACCTTTGCTACTAAAAGGTTTGTAAATGGCTATGGTGCACTTAGTTTTAGGGAGAGGTACAAGCTCATCCCATATTTTTGCGGTAGAGCGTGAAGAACCTGGTTTACAAAAAGGAAACCGCCTATATAGCGATTCTCTACATGATCCACACGACATTCATCTCAGCTCCCCAATAATAGTAAAATATATGGAAAGGAACCAATTCAGTAAACATCCAGATGCTAATAAGAACCTAGTGGTTTAAAAACCTGCTGGTAGAAATTTGGCACTTTAATACCAAAAAATGTAAGAACCTGTTTACCCAAGCAAACTCAAGCAGGTTCTCAAATGCGGGTTACAGGTACATTATGGTAAACATGTTAACCAAGGGGTTAAGTAAAACACTGTACCAAACCGTAATTACAATAGAAGTATTATTGTAATTCCTACAACGAAATAGACTACGAGTAGCGAAACGCGAGCGCGTGAAAATCACCCCACGCGAGAAAAGCGAGACGCGGCGGGGAAATTTTCTCTCTCCCCGCAGATTGTAACTGTTTTCATGGACCTTGCATAAAGGAGGTTTGCAAAGTACAGTTGTGAATTAACACTACATATTTAAGGACCAAACTAAACTTTCTTTATATTTCTCGTAGTCAACAACTATATCCCTCCCTCATAGAAATTAAGAAGCTAATTAAGAACCTACATAGCCTTAATTGCCAATAACTACCGCACAATAATAGGGCCTTTTTCGCCAGACCTCAAAAAATATAGGTTCGTATACGCAAGTGTTTCCTGTAAAAGACCTCTCTTATGTAGAGTTATATGGCGGTTGTGACGATAGTTTTGCCCTTCCAAGCACAAATCGAGGAAAATAAGCGCAAAGGGAATTCGAGCGACTTCTGCGTGTGAATAACAAGGGGGAAAACTAACTCTGCAAGTCGCTTAGCTAGCAAAACTGGAACTCGTCACTATTCCAAGGTACTAATATCTGCCACAACTGGAAACAGGACAGCACTCAAGCTTGGACTTCAACAGTTTAATCTTCAGCTCGTGGACGTAAATCATACATACATTTGCATCCAAATTGTGAATCAAAAAACAGCGATAACAGTGCTTTATTTATAATAACTGATCAACTTATTACATCACAAAACAAATGGAAAGAAGGCTGAATAAAATCAGCTGAATACTGAAAACAAATCTGGATAAATTCAGCTTTAAAGTTCATAGGTTAAACTAAACGACTCAAAATTAAATGTCAGTCAAGCAAGTGAATTTTGGAAACTGTGTAAAAGAATTCGAGTTTCCTTTGCTCAGGATCTCTCAAAATGTCAAAACTAAAAATTACGAACGGTTGGTATTTGAACAGGAGAAAGGACCAGTTGTTCAGTGACTAAGTTGCATAATTATTTCTAGAAATGCAATTTCGAAGGTACATAAAATATGCGTACAAAAACCAGAAACTTCCCACGGTACACTGTTACAATATACAAGAGTAAACATTCCTTGTTATCATGTTTGTACAGGCTTAAATCCGAAAAACTTATTCGAAACGTTGAAATCCTATTATTATAATTTTGTAGTCCACGTGCCATTAAATATCTTTAAAACCCAATAAAATCTACATTTTTCTTCTAACACGGTTTCACAGTTAGCCGGGCGAATTTTAGCAGCTCAATATACATTCTCTGTTCCGTGGTCGCGCTACAGCTGGGCTTTATACAACATCTCACACGCCTTGTGCTTTACATGCGGCCAAAATATGGCTGCAGCATCTGACGGCATGTTTGAATCATCCGCAAGATCTGACTGGCCGCTTAAGTCGCTGGAAGTTGAAAGCGCTCATTCCTCGCGAGGGCGTAGCAAAAAGTGGTTTAAACTTTCAGCCGTCTCTTCACCCCCAGCACCCCCCTACCCAAACGGCTGGGGCGAAGAGTGAAGAGACAGCTGCGAGTTCAGACTAAAACAAAAGTCGTCGCGAAAGATGCGACATGAGTGGTTGTGCTAGTTCAGCCTTTTGTGCGAGCGAAATATGCCTTATATTATTTGTGTGCCAAGGAAATTGTGAACATTCGTGACTGTGTATTCTGGATTCGACTAAAACACAGAATGATTGTGGAGCACTGCAGAGTTCGCCGGTCGTTCTATAGGTTTACAAAGAACAAGGCGCAACCAACAAGATTAAGTCACAATTCCTTCAATAAAGAAACTGGATTTTCTTGAAAGATCAGACGAGAATGACCTGAAAGCTCTCTTCCCAGCTGTCAAGCATGTAGACTTACCGCATCGCTTTCCAAGGGATTTGTAGTGTCAAAAGCTAGTCTTGTAATCTTGTAGTTTCAAAAGCTAGTGGAACTAGTCACAAAGTAATCGATTTGTTGTTATTTCGCCTTCGCGTTTTGTCAAAGGAAAAACCAGAGGAACTGTTGTCCTTTCGCTTAGGCGTCAATTTTCGATAATTAAATAGAGCGTAGGAATCAAGAGCTGCAGTAAAAATAATAAAATAAATAAATGGATCAAAACACGAATAGTAATAAAGATTTAAAACATTGCTCTATTTATGTGTAGGTTAGTAGAACAGACAGTTTTATCTGACTATTGTCGCTTTAATTACGTTTTAAGTCTTAGTGCCAGCCTTGTGATTGAACTGGATTATTTAAACAAAATACTCACCTCCCATTCCTTTTCCCATTCTTTTTTCTTTTTTGCTGCCTCTTCCTCAGCTATCTCCTGTTCACGTTGTCGTTTTCTGGAAAAAAGGAGATCAGCTACTCACTGTTCCTTATCATGGTTGCCACAGCCAGAGGTTTCTCAAACTCCGTGACTTTTCCCTGACAAATGTAAAATTTCCCTGACCATTTCCTGACCTGTGGCAACCTATGATTATTTATTGCTCTTAATTTTGCCAATGAACGCACGCGAAAAGCACCAGGTAAGTAGCCTCGTTCCCACGGAGCGAGAGAGAGACAACCGTGGGGACGAGGTTCAAGGTCGGGAAGGGGAGGGGGGATAAGGGTATCATTGAAGAGTTCCGTCAAGCCAGAAATTTTAACTGAGTCTGCTGTCCCCTCACCTAGCATGTTGCGTGATGAAACTACACGTACAACTTTTCAGTCTGGGGAAATCCGGCTCAGTGAGGACTGAACCGCAGTTACGTGTACTACAAAAAAGGACAGATGTGTTCGGGGGGAATTCCCTGAGATTTACAGTATTATGAAAAAGAAGCTCTGTATTTGGTGCTATTCCCATATCCTTAACCTTTTCAAAATAGTAAAAAAGTTCGGGTTCTCAGTCGTCAATGGAGAACCGGCGAAAACAAAAGCGAGCGCTTATTATACGTGGAGACAGAGAGAGAGCCTGTAGGCCTTTATTAACGTGGACATTAAAATGACGCCTACTTTTGACATACCGTAAATCCTCTATTTCGATCTATTAAGCCCCCCTCGGAGGGCTTATTTATTCCAAGCCCATTTGAGGAGGTGGGGGACTTAATAGAGACGGGGGGCTTAATATTTTATTTAGAAAAGACGATGGTATCAGTTCTGCATAAAGAACTACAATAAAAAGTGCAAAAACTCAAAAACAAGAAGGTTGGAAGTCATGCAGTCGAGGATCAGAATCAAATCCGAGCCTCCAGTTGGTAAATAAATTATCCCGGATAAGCCCACAGGAAGTTTTACAGTCGTGATTGATTTATACAGTCTATCATTTCTTAGTGAAGAATAAATAGGGGAGGGGAGGGGGGCTTATTAACTTTATTCCCTTGAAAAGGGGGGAGGGGGTTATTAGAGGGAGGGGACTTATTTGAGAGAAGGGGGGCTTAATGGTGGATTTACGTTATTTGGATAAATCCTAACGTCAATACGTCATAACATCAAGTCCTAATCGCTCTCTTCCTTCTCCCCAGTCTTGAAGCCTTTTTTCGCGCTTGCTTGTTTATTCTTCCAGAAATTTTATGATTACGACGACATCTGGATTTTGCTGTTTACACTGAGACAACAGCAGCGAAGACAAAAGCGACCTGAACCTCCCCCGCCCCCCAAAAAATATCAAATTCCTGTTTTCATTGCAGTTTTGTTGTTTAGTTTCATTTTTCTGCTGTCTCGAACAGTCTAGCTCGCAGATCAGCTCACCTCAATTCTGCGTCCTTTTCTTCTTGCGCTCTTCGTTTAATTTCATAATCAGCGAAAAGCTTAACAGTCGTGGAGTGGACTAATTTCGATAACTGAAAAATCAAACAATAGAGAGGCCTTTAGACGGCGGAACGGAGAAAGAAGCCGAGATGCACTACGCCCGCCTTTCTTTTCCGTGCTCCCACAGTTCAGATATACATCAAATTTCATATACCCACCTTCATCTTCCTCGGGTATACATGTATTACGAACTCACAAAGCGACCAGCTCCGAGTTGGCTTGAGATCTCAGTGGTAAGAGCACTGCACCGGTACTGGAGAGGCCAAGGGTTCGAATCCCATTCAACTTTGAATTTCTTTCCGACGTTGTGTTTTCACAACTGCTCAATTTGGGTACATAACTGTCATGATCTTTTCGCTTTGTCCAGCAATTAAAATGCTCAAGGAAAAAGAAACATCAGACCTCATGTAGTTTCTTTTAACATTTTTTCACCTATTTCGGTGTTTGAATTGCAGTACAAATGATTACCAACACAAATAAAAGTCTTTCTCCAGCCATAATTTCCTGGCACAATACCTTTTCTGGATCTTCCTCTTCTTCTATTTTATCTTTTCCCTCTTTCTTTGCTTGTTTCTTCTTCTCCTTGAGCTGAAAATGAGGGATGCAACAAGAAAACTGGGCTCAAGTATTGCACCGAATAAGACTGCCGCACAACTCATATAAAATGAGTAAATAAATAAATAAATAAATAAAAACTCAGCATTTTGCAAAAATCACTTTGCAGTAGTCAGGAGCACTCAACAATTTTTTTCTGTTTGAAGTAGCAAGTATTGTCTACAGAAAGGCTGTAAATTTTAGTTTTTACCCGTTCCATCATCTAAGATATTTGGAGTTTCTCTACTACAGTAGCTAACCAATACCTACGATTTCCGGAGGTTTTTTTTCTTTTTTATTACCAACATATTGCAATTATTGTTGAAAGAAAAAGGTCTCCTGAACATTTTGGTTTTAAGAAAAGCAAGTCCCCTAGAATCTTCTAATGAAATTAAATCTACAACTTGTCCTCAAATTTTCTTTGCAATGAAATTTCACTGGTTTTCAAGTAATTTATGCCTTGGAAAAAGAATAAACTCTGAAGCATGCAATCAGTCAATAAGCTAGCCGTTTGGTTTTATTACCAAACAGAGAAGAGAAAAGTCGCTCAGAGAACTATTGAACATGTAACAGGCCGTTTGCATGATGACGTCATTTATCTACTACAACCTAAGCGCTTCTCGGTTTTCTTTATTTGTGCAAATAAGGGCTTTTAATTTGTTATTTAAAGCCCACAGGATTACCAAATTTAAACATGAAAGGAAAAACCGAAAGATTTATGGTCGCAGTTGTAAAATGACGCCCTCGAGTCGAGTAAGTGACTTATTGCAAGTGAAATTAATTTGCAAGATTAACAACTCACAGATTTCTTGACCATTGCTCTTGCTTCTTCTAGGATTTCATTGATCTTTTTTACTTTATCTGGGTCTTGAAGTGTCTGGTTGGCCTCACTGACAGCTAAAAGAACAGTCATGTAGTTTTAAATGAACATACGTGAAAAATCATTATTTTTCCAGGTAATGACACACTATTTTAAAAACCATGGGGATAAATAAAAATTAACACCATGATACCCTTGTAAACATGCCGCAGTCATCTAATATTGCATAAAATGGGATATACCTTGAAAAACTTGGTCATTTTGTTCCCAATTTGTCACAGTCAAATTCTAGCCTGGGACCCGGCTATGCAGGGGGGGTTAAAGCAAAAACCGGAGCAATAGGAAAAATATATCGGTGACCTGGGGAGAGGGAAAGGGCGGTGGAACCTTCACAAGCATTTGCCCTTCCCAGACTTCTGCTCGGCTTGCTTCGCTTGCCACCTTTTTTTTTTGCACATGCCAATTTTTTTCTCTTTTTTCCCCCAATGCATAGCCTGGTCCCAGACTAGTCAAATTCAAGATGAGTTAAACTTCATGTACCCTGTTGTTTTGTCAAACTTGTAACACAGTTATGATGCCCAACATTTCAAGATATCGTGTGAAGTAGAGGAAACACAACGAGAGCAAATAAACAATGCAAAACCATGGAAACGCCTGCAGAAAATTCCCTGGGCTCCTGTCATAGCTTATTAATATTCTGAGCACTTGGTCCCTGGACACCCAGGGGACATTACTGGGATAAGTCTCCTCATGTGATAGCCTTAGATTTGATTGTGCTCACCTTCAAATGCCTTTTGAGCTTTCTCTCTGTTATCTGGGTTCTTGTCAGGATGAACGAGAAATGACAGCTGTATTACAAAGATCATAAAGGATTAAATGAGAAATAAAAAGGATTATTATTCAATCAAAATATTTCCCCGATTCTGATTGGCTAAAAGCACATGCATAATTCACCATAACCAGTTTCTGATGACCAAATTTGGAAGAATTTTGTGTTTAACGAGGAAATGACATAAAAAATGCAGCC